GCCTCTTCAAGGGATCCATTTTTTCGAGCTTCTCTTCGAATTGGCGACGTTGCACCTCCAATTGTTGTTGCATATCCTCCTTGAGTGACTGTAAGGTCTCTTCCATCCTGACCTTTTCCTTCTTGATCTCCTCCACTTCGACGTTGGCCGCTTCAGCTGTCTTAAGCTGGTCTTGGTACTCCTCTTTCTGTCGGTCAAGCTGAGATTGCATCTCCTCTCGCACTTCCCTCAACTTGTCGTCTACTTCACCCTGCTTTGGAGTCGAGGGCATCGTGAGGGCGGTATCGAGAGAGAAGTTATCAATTGTGCCAGTCGACATGTACTTTTCTCGAATCGGATATGAGGTGACAGATTCCGTGTCATCATCCCCATCGCGAACGTTGACACGCTCGGCACGCGCTCGTTGAATTCCTTCGAATAGTGCATTGAGCTCCTCGTCAGTGAGACTAGCCAAATTTTGGTTCGGGCCCAGTATAGCTTCTGCTGCCTCTCGTCTTGCGAACATGAAGTCGTTGTCACGTCCAGCACGAAACGGTATCGGAGAGTCCGGCCGACTGTCGCCAAAGTCTGAACCAGCTTTGCTCCAGTTCCGTTCGTGTCCTGGTCGCGGGCTGACAGCTGGCGTCGGCATGCTCTTTTCGAGATTCTGCAACTGACTAGCCGTCACAGATTGACGCAAAAGGTTCTTGTCTGCTCTTTCCTTTTGGGCTTCCATAGGGTGATTAAAGCGGAAAATATGGAAGTCACCCAAAATAACACGATAACCGGAGTGCAGCTGTTTAGGCTCCTCGATTCGTTTGCCGTTGACCATGACAGACGCTCCCTCCTTCGGAATGACCATGACGGTACCGTCGGGTCCGTTTTCGAAAGCGCAATGGTCGTGCATGATACGAGTCCCGTTAAGACGAATGTTTGCTTGATTGTCAGCATTGGTGTCCATATTTCCAACCGTGGTCAAACCAGGCTTGAGGTTGTACACAAGACACTCGGCAAGTAGCGGATCGTCTGAAAGGTTGACCAAATGGGGCATCTTCTTCGGAGTGGAAAGTCCGATGAAGCCCTTTTCAATGCTGATACCGAGTTCTTCGAGTGCAGCCTCTCGCTCCTTGTGGATCTCCTCCGTCTTTTGCAGTTTTTGCTCCCAGGTCTGATTGAGATCTGTCAACAGCTTTTCACTCTGATTAAGTTGCTCTGCAATCTCGGCCTTGGAAACCTTCTTCACAGCGCCATCGCTAGATGTAATCGACACGAATTGCTGTTCTAGAGGAGTGCCTTCCGGATAGACCTCTTCTGACGTGACGGTACCGCCGGCAGCTCCTCCAACCGCGCCTGCCCCAACACTCCCTCCCCCTAGTTGACCTCTCAGCAGAGCAAGCTCTTCCTTGAGTTCTCTGATCATACGGGCGTTGGCATCCTCGTTGACAACCGCGTGGTTCTTGATTCTCTTCGCGGAGTCGGCGTATCGCAAGGTACTGAGGGTTTCGTCATAGTTGATGTCTGCTGGACTGATGGCTGCAATCATGGCCGTCATACTGTTTCCACCTAATGAGTCTTTGAGCAGCCACGTGAGAACACTGTCTCGATACGGAACTTGTCCACCGGGACCCTTCTTCTTTTTCCCAACGGAAATATCTGCCAAGGCTGAGATAACTCGACCCAGGGAAGATAGTGATCTGTTGATCTCTGCACCTTCCTTCAGTCGAGCACCTGTGGCACCAGTTGATGTAGCTCTTTCTGAACCAGCCAAGTCAACCAGACTAATTTTGGCGACCTTTTCCATTTCCATCTTTGTATCAGGGTCGAATCTTTTCTGGGTGAGCATCAAGGTGAAAACTGCGTGACTTCGACTTGACGTCTCGTTCATGTTTGTTGCGGCGACAGTTCTGGCCTTGTTTCCCTCGTCCATCAGGTGCTCGATCTCCTGGAAGCTGCCAACTACCAGCTTCGCCAAGTCTTCGACGTATGGGCCGGTTGACGGATGCTCTCGAACCTTGAGGTTTCCTTTCGTTGCTGGATTCAACAAATCTCGCACTCGTTCGTTGTAGATTTCGAGGTATGAGACCTCGACCGTACACCGCAAGTGCTTATCCTCTTGCAAGGCTGAGATCCTCCTAAACATATCTTGGCAAATCATTGGGATGATACCAACTTCCTTGCCGTATCCCATCATGGAATACGACTTTCCGGAACCTGTTTGGCCGTAGGCGAAGATACAATTGTTGTAACCGCCGAAGGCGTTCTCGAGAAGGGGCTGGCCAAGGTCGTCGAATAGGTTGTCTTGGCCGGCATAATGGTTGTCCTTGCGATCAAATGACCAGTACGATCTGTCGAAGGCGAACACTTTCTGGCCAGCGTCTTTTGCGTTTTTCGCGTGAGCTTCGGACGGCGGGGTAAGGACGGTCTGGTTGTCTTTCATCTCGATAATACATTTTGAGCCACGGTCGATCTCTGTATAGTGGTCAGCATTTCGGTCGACCGCATGTTCCCGTTCGCGCACCCGCTCAAGGGGTACGCGGAGACGTCGCAACTGTGATCCGTACCTCTACTATTGAATGGTCTCACTCTCACCACCACCTTAATGTTTCCACCACCTGCGGGAGCCATCTTTGCGACTGGTTTTGGGGCACCTGCCGCCCAACTTCAAGGCAGAGGTTGCCAATTGTAGGAATGGCGGGCCTTCAGCCAAAGCCTGTTCGTTGATATCGTCCAACAGCCGTCGGCCACTCTTTCTGACGAAACAGCGGTAAAGCTTAGATTGTCGATATATGGTCTGCTTTTGGTATTGAAAGCGCCTTCATGAGCTGCCCCTAGACCATCATCCGAGCGTCGAAGGGGGCGGGCAGTCTCGGTGGGCGAAACCGGGGGATCGTCAAGTGGGATTCTTTCGATTTCGATGGCCAAGTATTCCTGGAATGATGCAGCTACAGGTACAGGCCCCGCAAACGATGTCGTTGCGTCCGATGGCGGACAGCAGTTCTCCGGTCGTAACTAGAGCGTCTTTTCGCACAAATTCAGAATCGTTTCGGCGTGTTAAGTTCGTGATCACGTAGTACAGAAAGGGGATCTGTCGTTGAGCGGGATGCGAAATGAAGGGTACGGAGTACTTCGATGTCAACAAATTTCGGAAAGGACGCGGTCGCGCACCGCATGACGGTCCTCTGCAGGGAACTGATTGGGCCGGAAATTAGCTTTGGTCAGGGTCACTTCACGTGCCAATCCGCTCAGCAGGGTGACGACCACCAGCCGTGCCACATTTCAGTGTTTAGTTTGGTGAGGGAGGTGCGCCCCAGTACGCCAATAGCAGATGACTAAGCCAGGCGAACCATGGCCCCGGCGCGGCGTTCCTCAACGTTCTGCTGCTAGGTAACTTAGACATCAATTTGCAATGCAAACGAAGATTCAACATCACCTTTCAACACGTTGTTTGCTCATTCTTTCATTCTCTACTAATCTATCACACTGATCGATCCGAGGTTACTGCAGTATGCACCTTCATGAGCCCACAGATCCACTTTCCCCGCCTTGTCTACTTTGACAAGTGTTTAAAGTTACAGCAATGCTCAACCACTGAAACAATCAATGAACTCAAGAACGCAAGTGCCTCGGGCAATTTCTCTCTCTACATCTGCAAGCGGATATCGTCTTAGCATGCCTCCTCATCGGCGCCAGCAATGTGTTGCTGGGGAGGAGTCATTCTCGACTCGACCTATTGGCCAACCCTTTCTGCCGCCTTGAAGTCTTCTATGCTCAGCTCCCAGCATCTGCGTATCTGCATACTTGCAGTACCGTCTTTGCCTGGCAGAAGTTCATCCCAATCTGCGGTACCATCACCTGGCCAATCCCTGTCAAGTCAACAAACAGAATGCGGTTACGACGGCGGGATCGTGTTGATTACGAACTAGAATTCTTCAACGCGCAGAATAGCGGGCGGGTTCCGGCAGGATCGCACATCTCATGTGCGGGGTCGTTTCGATGATCTTAAGATCACCTTAACCGCTTTTACACGCCAGCATAAGTCACTCAACGATAGCCTTCCTTCGGTCCCAAGGGTCACTCGACTAAGGCTGAATGCGAACAAGTGTTCGTCCAATCAACTTACAAGATCCAACCAACATCAAATCGGGTGTCTACCAAGAGAACCATTGCGACAGCATTGAAACTCTTTTGCTGGCCCTCTACAATTTACATCGCCCATTGTGCCAACCACACCTGGTTCTTCGTGTGAATTGCAATATTGCAGAAAGACGTCGCTTCGTCTTTCCAACCACCATTATTGCTGCAGGCCGAACTAGGCTCTTTTCGCCACAGAGGAAGCAGAGAGCCACCCAACGTTGGGAGAATCAATCGGGCCCCGAAGTCTTGATCACCTAGCCGTGCCTCGTTTTACTCCGTTGAACAGAGCGAGTCCAATTGCAGTGGCATATCACATGGCGTGACACCTTGGTATGTCACTCTTGAATCATCCTCGGCGTATCGGCCTAGTTCGACCATCAACGATTCTCTACGGAAACATGATCTCATTGAAATAGCCAACTATCTGCACTATGCACAAATCAGCACAAGTTGTTCAACCAGTAGGAGCTACGGGCATACGACGTTATTCCCAAGTTAGGCAGGTCAGAGGGAGCTTGCCCTGCGAAAGAAGCCCTTTATATCTGCGACAACTAACGAACCCTTGAGATGGAGCACATCCCCTTTCCCCGGGTCTCGAAACAAAACTCCGAAGATAACCTTCGAGACAAGTCTTTTTGCAGCCCCCCCCCCCCCCCCATATCCGATGCTTGAACCTGCATATTCGGCGACATCCCCCGGTACACGAAGGCGCGGGCAACAAGGCTCTGCCTTGATCCCTAGCCCGACAGCCAGCCCCCAAAGAGCCAAGGGCCCAAACCACTATGGATCTACAAAACAACCAACCGAGTGTCAGCCTTGGGTGGTTCTGAAGGAGGAGAATTTTGTCATCATCCTCCACTCGTCTGGAACAAGATATATCTACGCGAATGCACGAAAGACTGCAAAAAGCCCCTTCCCCACTAACCTTGTGCCAAAAACCCCCTTCTAGAACCCCTTCTTACGTCGTGTCGCCCCGTCTCAGAGGCTTGAGATCCCTCCTTCAACTCAAGCCGGCGCACCGGATGGAACGTCCGGGAGGTGACGGAGCCACAAAGGCACAGAGTCACAGACAGGCGGGCTGCGCTTCATCAACTCGGACCCGGGCAACTCTAGGCCCGGTTCATCAAGAAACGGCCCCAGTGTTCCAGAACAAGCTTGTCGAAGTTCTGCTTTCCCCCCACATGCCCGCCAACTTGACCAACACTATCCGTAACACTAACACCGAAGGACCTCACCATGGAAAGCCACAATCGGAATCGGCACCCCGCCTCGACCGCAACAGCTCTCCATCATCTCTGCCACCTCGTGCGGGTGGCGGATACTCCGGCCATCTGTCTGTGACTGGCAGCTGCTTTAAACACAATCCCTTGAAGGGATCGGGATCCTGGGAAGGCCAAGTCAGCCACACGCTGCACAGCTCCGCTTCCTGTCTGCCAAAACGCGACCCGTTCGCGTTGGCCGCCCACCTTCAAGATAAATGCGGCAAACGAGAAACGCGAAAAGAAGAAAAGAGGACGTTGGTGTTTCCAACGCTAGCGTTTCGCCGTTTCTGCCTAGCCTTTAGGCGAGTTTCTTCCCTCACTACGGGCAACGAACTAGAACCGAATGGTGATCGTCGTGTACTTGGTCTAGCACGTCACGAGGTACGGACGCTCTGCCCCCCCTGACTAGAACATTCCTTCAGCCTGTCAGCCTGTCACTAGCGAATCGACATGGGTGCGTTCGAAGTTTCCCCCCTCCAGCCTCCAGGTCTCTCTGACAGACATCAAATCCCTCCGGTTCATCCGTGCCGGAGCCGGGCGCGACGCCGTTGGCCACGTTCTTTTCTTTTTTTCTCGCGAAGAAAACCCCGGGAGCAAGCCACCAAACGGGGATCCAACTGGAATATGACCTAGCCGTTTCTTCGGCTACTGGCACTGATAAAAGGTAAACGGTTCTCAAACGGCGTGTGCGCCTCCCCGAAGGCGGGCTGCGAGCGGGCGTCTCTCCCGTTTTGCACGCGGCGCATTTCGAATCGCCACCCCCGGATTATGTACGGAGACTTTTGTATCCCGCGCATTGCAGCAATAAGCTTTGTGCCGTCATGTCACATTATGTGAAGCAACTAGATGGCTGCCCCGAACCGTCATGAACCTCGCCCTCACTCCAGGGCATGGCACCAACCAAACCAGATCACCCCTTACGAAGCGTTCGCCTCCATACAGTGGTCGGAAACTAGCACCTTGTCCGTACGACTGAACGGTGCCTGCTGAAGGATCGACAGGCACTGTAGTAGCCGCAAGGTTGCTCTAACAGACAAGACTTAACCTGAAGTGCACTGGGGGCGCACTACCCACCAGCGCAACATCGCAAACATCAAATGACGAGATTGCCATGAACCGAAAACCTAGCTGATATACCCGCTGCTTGGCAAAGCGTAGCGGGCAGCCGCAACCTAACTCTCTCCTTATAGTGACGCCCCTGGTGGGAGGGAGGTCTCTCCCCACAACGAGTGCAGCGCAGCCAAGCCAAGTTAGCAACTTTGCTGCGGAACGTGCTAAACCAAAGAAACGGTTACACGCGTGGGCGCGCGCGCGCGCACCATCCCGTTTCCGCCGCCTCTGAACCTTCAGCGTCCTCATGGCTCTGGATTCAAGTTAGGATCACTCAGCCCGTCTGTATCGTGGCGCCGGAAACGACTCATGACAAAGTCGCACCAGCCCCACGAACCCGCACCGATCGTCGTTGCGCTCCTGCGACTCTACCGTCGCCGTGAACATCATCATTTCTAGGGTGTTTATACGCAGGATATTCAGATACGGATGCACGAACTTGGCTGTCACGCTGCATTTCATCTATACAACGCGACACCCTAGGAGGAAAATCGGTCACGCCGAACGTCCTTGGCATCGAAACATGATCTGATCTGGGAAAAACGCTAAATCATGTTCCCCGCTTGGCGTTGCTTAAACGCTGCTTGATCTTTTGATGGCAAGACTTTGGGATCAACTAATAAAAGATTAGGATGCGACTAAATCACGTCAAATGAGCTTGGCACCCTTGCGGCACCGGCAGCGGCGGCGGCTTCATTCACGTACCTACTCCGTACGCTATCGCGCAATTGCGGTAGCGTCTTTTCCGTCGGCCGTAGTCAATGACAGATCACCACTGCCTGCTAGACTCCAAAATGTGTCCTGTGTCTTGACCTTTTTTTCTATCTATATCTCATTAGAAAAACTCAAGATGGAACTAAATCAGACGAGAAGCTGTAGTATTTGACTCAAAGGCACGACGTCGCACAACACACATACCACCCGCCCACATAGTAATACACACGGTCTGTAGAATAGAACGGTAATCAAACGGTACGACGCGCAAACTCTGCAGTCGTAAATCACCCGATAGTCTATCATCCGTTCATCGGAGCGACGTCAACTCTACGTAATTGACAGTCTCCAAAGTTGTTCAAACTCTACTTTCCGGTGACTGTTCCATTTCGCAAATCATCTTTTTCCTTCGACCCGCCTGAAGTGTCGTCGGTGGAGTTCAGTCAAGATAAGGTACGCCTCATCATGTAAGTCATAAAGTTTAGTGTGCTAGAGTTTCCATGGGACTTTGCTTTTTGGGGGGTGGCGGTCCCTGGAGATCCTCATGTGGATACACTGGAGAGCTTCAGCGTTGTTGAAGAACACCCTTTGAACGGAAAAAGAAAAAGTGAGACAGGCCGAGACAGGGACCCGGAAACCCTGTTAGAGTGTTGTTGTGATGAGGCTCATCACGGAATCACGTTTAATGTTTTGCAGAATTGGTGACTGTGGGTTTTGGAAATTTGTTTCTTTTGATTGTCGCTTCTTCCCGTGGGAAGGGACTTTGCGGTACAGATGGCACACTGCGACCACTGACCGTGATGATCTAGCTTACAAGGTTGCACACAACCGGTATTGTAACATGAAAAGAAATGGCTGTCTGTCCACGCCGGGGCCAAGACATTTTCCCACAAGAAAAGGATCGCACCGCCAACACCCAATAGATGACCATGCAATATATAATTTCGGTATAGGGAAACGACATTGTGATGAAGGGAAGGTGGTAATGTGGCGCCGGCCAATAAATGAAACAACTAGTAATAGAACAGAAGAAAAGGAGCGTCGCGGACGGGTATCAAGTTGGTGATGATAATGTAGCAAGAAATAAGAGCACTTCTCGGGAAAGGAAGGTAATGGGTCAGCCGTGAAGTCGTTTGAGACGTAGGGAGCGTAAGCGTTAAATGAATAACGGTTTCGAAACAGAACAAGATTGAGATGAAATGGAATGCAGTATAGTTGCTGTTGCCGTATTGGACAAGCAAGATGGGGTAGAGCTGAGGCTGGCTGGCTCCTAGCCTCGGAAAACGGCACTAGTGAGGAAGATGGCTCCGTCGTCGGCCGGGCTATCCTTGGCTGGAGGGGAAGGCGCGCGAGGAGACGGGATGGTGTCCTTGGTGTCCTTGGCGTCGGTGGGCTTCTCATTTGCGAGCCCACTGAGAGCCTCATGGCTGCGTGCCCGATGGATCTCCTTCTGTTCGTCATCCGACAGGGCCGCAGTGGCCTCAGTCTGGTTTGCGGCAGCGCTCATCTTGGTGATCTCATTCTCCACGTCGGCCAGAAGAGCGTACACGTCGCTGTCGGCATAGATGCGGATGCTTTCCATGCCGGTGCGGCGGTGACTGAAGGAAGAGACATGCTTGTCGACCGAGGCAACGGGGCACTCCTCGATCACGGGTTGCTCGACGATGGTGCTGGGGACCTGGGCAACGACCCGTTGTGGTGAAGGGGAGCTGCTAGCAGTGTGCGAAGAGAAGGAGTTCTTGGTGGGGCTTCGAGGAGGAGTGGAGATGTTTCCAACACCCACTGGTGGAGGCGGGCGGATGCCCATGGCGAGCTGCAATGACTCGCTCGCGGCCGTCGCGGCGGGAGTGGGGAGGGTAGCTGCAGCAGCGACGTGTTCCAGAAGCTTTTGGCGTACCCGTGTACGACGGTTCTCAGCCTGTTCCAGCTTGTTCACCCAATCGTCGATCGACGTATCGAGCTCAGCGAGAGCTTCCTCTTGCTTAAGCATCGAGTCTGTGCTAAATCTAGCCGTACGAGGAGAGCGGAGATACTGGCAGATACGAGAGTGCAGATTGCGCCGACCAGCTCGCAGAGAGTTGTAGGTGCGGCGCAGATACTCGGTGCGCTCATCGAGCTGACGAAGTTCCTGTGTATACTGTCAGTTTTCGCTGTTCGATAATGAGGCACAGAATGACCCTTACCCTTGAAAGGAGCTCAACATCCTCCTTTCTGAGTACCTCAAATCGGGAAGCCTGTCCGAAGGCCTGCTTTTGCAAAGCTGCCAGTTCGTCTTGCTCGATATGGCTGGGTGCCTCGCCGGCTCGGAATCCACTAGGAAGCTCTTCGAAAGCCCGGCGTTCAGCACTCTTATTTCTTGTTGAGCAGCTTCGCTTGGGGATGAGACCGTTGTTGTTTCGTGATTCGCTTCGCTTCCGTGGCCGTCCCCGGTCCATGATACTACCAGACTCAGACTGACCTCTCCTGTGGCTGTGAACAAACGGCCTTTGTGTGCCGTCGTTACCAGGTGACGCAGAGTTCTCGCTCTTGAGCTGGACAGGGGTGGATGCGTCTTGGCTGTAGTTCAACTCCCAGGGCTTCGTCGAGCTACGTTCCTCCATAATGGGAGCAGACACGGGAGTTGTGGCGGACATAAAAGTTGGGCAGGCGGACAACGGAGTCGTGAGGGCGGTTGAGGCGGTCAAAGGCGTATACGGAGTTCGGGCAAGTGATCTAGGTGAATCATCGGCGCGGGCGGAATACTGAGAAGAGTCTTGGCCGGTGCTGCCGGATCGCATGCGATTGTGGGAGATTTGTCTGGCAAGACGCGGCACGTTGCCAATGTGGGTAGGAATGACGAGAGGCGCCAATTGCTTCGGCGAGGCGGGTTGGCGGGGAGTCTGGCTCTCTGAGGTAGATCGTTGGTGTCGGTCTGGTGAGCGGGCTGGAGTGGTGCAACCAGATCTATCGGCGTCGGCCGCGGCTATCGATGAGACGGATCCGTTCGATTTGTGCTGTTTGATGTGGTGTCCTGGTGCGCTAACAGATCTCTCGTGGAGCGGTGGACGTCCCGGAATAGTGGCTATAGCTTGTCAGCTATGTATTGCTTGACAAAGCTGAAGGGCAGATACTTACGTGAATCCATGGGAACCTCTTGGACAGTCGTCATGGGGCCCAATTCGGGGATGCTGACTTTACGCCGTCTAATGAGGTTGTGTTCCTTGATGCGCAGGCGGAGTGAACCGCTGCTGGTGCAGGGCTTCTCGGTCTTGTCGTTCTGTCCCATGGCGAGGGCGAAGGCTTGCTCGGGGTCGAGGCTCTTGTTTGGTGGCCGTTGCTGGCGATCCTTTGGGAAGAGCTGGTACTTCCGGGTGTCTGGATGGTGCATCCTCCACACGAAGGGCTTGTGATCTGATGATGATGACAATGGTGGTGCTTGTGATGTCTGAGAGAATCCCAAGACGTGGTCAGCTAAAGAATAACTCATAGGTATAGAGGACGTGTAGGTAGTTGGAATAAAAGAGCGATGTCCATACCGAATCCATTGGGGGTAGTGGGGAGGGCGGCTTCGCTATATACGGCGGGTTGGCGGACTCGCCTTC